TCTTCAGCTAAAAAAAAAAGCTTATTCAGCTGTTGATTAACTCAAACTGTTTGTTGGGTTGTTTCAATATCACGCGTAATAATGAGAGCCAATGAGGGTGAAAATATATCGCTTGATTATTGATTTTGCCAACACTGGTAAGAACTGTCAAAATATTAGGAATTTACATGCTACATTAGTGTTCGTTAAATTCAGCTTGGCAGTTCAAATGATTACCGTATGCTGTCAGTTTTAATCTCAAAACTACTGACAGTATACCGCCACTTTCTCAGGGGCCTAAAATAAGAGCAACCGTACCAGTCGTTGCCATTTGCGGCACTATTTTACTTACGCACAGCGTTTCCATTTTGGCTGAATCACTGATCTAAACACCGGTCGTTGCTATCAGAGTCATAATTTAAGTTACCGTTTTCCATACCGGCAAAACAAACTTTTGACGTTTATTTAAAATAGCAACCGTCTGATGCGTGGCTACCGGACCGGGTTGCTAAATTTATGAACTCACTACTTCCCAAGGTGCGGATTCCTATTTCCCCCACCTGAATAGCAACCCCCGGTACGCAAGTAGCGTTATGGTAGAGGTAGGTAAATGTGCCTTATTTACTCATTGGTACGGTTGCTCTGATGTGCATCGAGATGTTAACACTTGGCTCACCACTTTAGTAGCCTATTGGTCCCAAGCAAACGATTAACGTACCCTATTCTAGTCGAAATTCTAGTACTACGCAATGTTTGTTTTGATTCGCTATGAAAGTTTGACAGATAAAATGAGGGGTTATTGGTTTTTCCTATGTTTCGAGGGGCGAATCGATTAACTTGGGACCGAAGAGAGTACCAGAGCTGAGCCAAAAAGTTGAGCACGTTATTTCGGGACCTTCTAGTCTTAGAGTTACCTCTATGTTAACACTTTTCCAAAATACAACAATGATCCGATTTCATCAGCCGATCCTTCTCAATAATCTTCAAGATGGATGTTTGGTGCAATAAGACAGCTGAAAACCTACATGGGTTTCGGAGAACATAAGAACAAAAAACAAAAAAGGGACGGACACAATCCGATCCATTGCGAAAAATCTGACAGCTAGAATGTGGCCAGAGCGACGCGACGCGATATGACCAACGCAACAAATGCTAATAAATCTAGATAAACATTCCAAAAGGTCCTATCTGCATTGCTGGATTCTCTTCATCGACTTTCTCTTTCGTTGATAAATCAGAAGCAAAATATTTTCCTGTTGTATTTGACGTTTTGGACGCTAGATGAGAACCTCCTTCATCAAACTCTATGGTTAAAACAGCCCGAAATCTGTTTGCATAGCAGTGGTTATCAAAAGAGAATAGGATTATTTTGAATCTGTCAAGTCGCCTCGCGTTGACGGGCCGGTGTTACACCAACCGGTCAGCACTCGTGTTTATTTCAGTTACCGTGGGGACGTAACTTGTGATTTGCCCCGGTCCCTTTCAAATTGTATCATTATTTATGTACGGTCCTTATATTTGAAATGACGTTTCACATTCATCTAGTGATGGCCGATTTTCATTCGAATAATCGATTAATCGATTAACGAACCGAAAAGTAAAATATTTGTAATCAGATATTATCATGCCGATATAAGCATTAACTTCTCCAGAGGATCATCACCCATCGTTACAAACATGTGCTGTGATCTCATTGGTGAAAAAATGACAGCACAGCGAACAAAAAAGAATCAATAAAAATAGAAAGTTTTTCTTCGGACTGTTTCATCTTTGTATTCTTGTTTGGTTACACCGCCGTACACAAAAAAAAAATCAGTTTGTAGCTATCGATTGCACCTTTGTTTACAAACAAATCATGATGAGCTGTCAATGACTCGCGCTTATTACTGCTTACACTACACCGGTGTAGTGTAGCAAAACCGAAAACGACATTAGACAATTGATAATAGATTTAACTGCCATTTGGATGGAATCTTCATCAGGAAGTGTCAAAAACTACAGAGAAGTATGAATTTTAAAAACTATGCTATCATTTCTGAGCGTGAAAAGCTGGATAGACCTTTTGCACATGTCCGCCAAACTACAGTATCCCCCGCTAATCCGGCTCTCGTTATTCCAACGACTCGATAATCCGACATCACTGTCTCTTATGCAGCTGTTAGGGCATAACAGTTAAGGCCCAAGCTCAATGAAAGCGGAAGCGGAACGGCAGCGGCAGCGGAAAAGCCTGATCTGAGTAAGCCTACTTGTCGGATTGAAAACTAGTTAGAACCAAATCGACATCGGTTAGGCTTCTTTATGTTATTTGTGACAACTGTCAAACTTTCCGTTTCCGTTCCGCTTCCGTCCACATTGTGTTTGGGCCTTTAGGCTAGTAACATTGATTTGTATGGATTTGACAAACCGATTATCGGATCAACCCCACTAATCCGGCCAGAAATGTGTTAGATTAGCACGGGGATACTGTTTAACAACTGATAGCGGAATCATTGCCCTACCTGTGCCCTACATGATAGTGTTATTAGAATGTGAGTGTTAGCTTTTTTGCTATTGATATTAAATTATTATATTGTGATTGATTACAATCGATACAATTACAATTACAATTGATACAATTGAGCAATTGTGTTTAATAACAAAAGCAATTGCACCCTTATCTCGAATCACTCTGCATGTATACCAACAGATGAAGAAACCAACTTAAGGTGCAATTTACTGTGATGCATTTTAGAAAAATTCAACCCCATTTTTTTCGACGCATCATTTCAGATTGTAAAACAACAAAACCCAAGTAACATTGTAGGTTTTATCAAGATTTTAAAGCATTCTACATGTCCAAACCATGGGAAGTAATAACGGGAGCTGTTTACTATCTGAATTGATGCGTCGAAATAAACTGGGTTTGTATTTTTGGACATCGCACCAAAGTTAATTGAACTTTAATGACAAGCAACAAAAATTAGGTCTGTTCCCGTACTTGCTTTTTTTTTGTAAGAGTCTGCAAATTGAAAGCAAAAGAATGTTTCCGTACTTGCTGCACCATATTATTTTCTTAAGCTGGTTTTAGACTAGGTTACTCAAATGATCAACTCAGTTGAATTCAATTGGCTTGAAAAGTTGAGCATGGTTAAACTTTTTTCAAGTGAGTTGATCAAGTCAGTTGAATGGCATGGTTTACACGTTTCAAGTCAGTTGAATTCAAGTTGAATTATTCAACTGACTTGATCAATTGACTTGCCCTGTCTTAACCCAGCTTTACAGCAGCTTACAGAAAGCTGAAGCAACCTACAGCAGAAGCAAATACTGGAACAGACCTATTATTTGGGCCCGGGACATGCTGTCTATCGATAAATGTTCCCGGCACATGATTTTGTTTTCGATCGAAATGTGCTGGGATATTTTCTATGTACAAATAATGTAAGAAAGACGTTAGATTTTCGATAAAGAGAAACTCAAACGTGTTAACCAACTCACGACAGTTTGCATAATCTTCAATTAATTCAACCCTTGGGAGTTCATGGTCACATCTGCGATGGTAACGTAAGCGCTGTACCAACAAACGATCCCAGCGCACAATCCATCATCTGCAATGGCCAATTCCCACGAGCAGCACGCATGTCCATATCCAATTATATGGCCCTTTATGCCGCAGACAATGAGATCCCACAAGTAACGAGAAAACCAATGCATAATTCATTTTCCCACCAGCCATTACTTTTTATTTTTTCAACGTTCTGCTGACCATGACCCTAACCGGTCCTAATAAGGGTCATTCGTTGCTGTGCGGTAATTGAGTTAGCTTTGAGCAATCTCGACGTTCACCAGATAGATTTTAATCTGTCGCAGTAAGCAACTGTGGCTTCCTTTGTTCCTCGGACCATGTCCTTCGGTGAATCTCCCGATCATCGTAGAAGCCCATCACCAGGTGCACGATTATTCCGAACAGCTTGTAAGTGGTCACCTCCGCTCCTCAGTTGATTGATGTCTGATGTCATACCCATCATGACGAACTCCATTCACTTTGCGAGTTTGTCGTCGCGTTGCCTGATTTTATAATGAAAGTGAGCTAGACTCCACTTAAGGATCGACTGTTCGTCGCGCCAGCAGTCAAGCGACCAAGTGGGGGTTACGTAAAGCACACAAAATAGTTGCATACCGCAGCACTCCTGGCGGTGCAGTTTTTTGCTGCAGCTTTCAAGAAATTTCCACTGAGAGATTGCGGAAAAAGAGAAGGTGTTGCCATAGAATGAAACTGGTTTCCGTAGCCTCGCCGTTGCCGAGAGGGAAGCAGGGCGGAGTGAAGTGGGCCCTTCGGGAAGGTGATTTGCAATGTGCTACGCCGCATTAGGTGCGGAATTCGCAAGACTGGTTGAGTTTAAGTGGCCCGTCGAGTCGTTGCGATCATACCACCCGGCGGTCTGCTGGACGTGCTTAGAATAATGAAAATTGTTTTTGAGTAAACCTACTGCTTTTAAGAGGTTTCCCGCACCCGAATCAGTCGAGTGAGGGGCAGAAACGTGTGCAAAATTGGTCTAATCAATCTCAGAAGCATATGGAGTTATTTGAAGATGATCTACGATTTTCAAACATGATCTAGTACTGCTCCTGTAATAGCTCAGGATTGATTTATATAACGAAACTCACCAACGTCATCTCTCATTCGCGGAAAATGCTTACTTGCCAAGTCTCAAACAATGTTGCATACAAGTTCGATAAAATGTATAGAAACGTCAAAGTAGTCCGATGCCAGCGCTGTGGTGGGGGATTCACGAAACTATTAATATTTAAATTGAACGTTTAATGCGTGTACATCGACTGAAGAGACAGAGTTACGTCTGTTTGTCTGTGGTTCCACTTTCATGCCCATAGCGGTTAACCACCCTTCGAGTTCAACACTTTCCACTCTCGAAAATTGTCCTCCATTTGTGTTGTAACCGTAAAATTGCATAACACCGTCGCAACTTCAGTCATAAACCTACTTTCATATTTTCCACTTATCTCTCTTTCTCTTTCTCTTATAGCTGCGGTCGATTTCCGTGTCAAGCGACAGGACGATGACGGCGACGGCGAAGAAAGCATCGATGATCTGTGCAAGGACCGACCGGCCGACGAGTACTTCCGTCTGAGCACCGATGGCGATTGCCGCGAAGTCGTGAGGTGAAGATCAGCGTCTTCGTGTGTCATTCCCAACCCTTTCCAGTGAAATTTACTATTGCTATAATTGTAGTAGTGAGCGACACGTGTGCGAGAGCGAGTGTGTGTGTGTGTGTGTGTGTTGCCAAGTGTTTCTTTGTGATGCCTTCGGTTTTACTTGCTATTGTTTTCCTCCAGGAAGTCGGTACAGTGAGCGATTAGTTTCCCAACCAAAATCTAGTACTACACATGTCAAATCACGCGGGAAGGTTTGTGCTTTGATGCGTCTAGTACTACGATTAGTTTAAAATTTCGCTTTGAAACGCCATAAAATACAAATCTAGTACTCCCTGAATCGACGTTCCAGAAAATTTACCAAAAAAAAATTGCTCATTCGAATCCAAAAGATCACACGTCTAATTTCCATCCGCTCGTCAATGTATAGGTGCGATAATGCTGGGGAAAATGGCATCACAAGGCTGGCACGCGTGCGTTGCCCAACCGGGTTGTACTTTGACGTTTACCGTCAGACCTGCGATTGGAAAACGAACGTTAAAAATTGCGATGAACTAGGAAGTAAGTCTACGACGGTGGACCGGCCAACGATGGAACCCGTTTCAGTTCCATCCTTGGATCCGGGTCCACCGGAGCAAACCGTCACCACTAAAACTTTTCTTTCTCTTTCTCTATTTTCATCTCCTTGTCTTTTGAATACATGAAAAAAAAAACAAAATTGAACCCAAAATTCACCACCCCCTGCAAACAAACCGAAAACCATCTGCGAACCCCTCTCCCCCTTCCGTGTTGGCAAATAAATAGGTGTACCCGTTCCGGATTGAAGCAAATTACTTGCCCGTCCGGTCTAGCGTTCGACATTGAAAAGCAAACTTGCGATTGGAAAGCAAAGGTCACCACGTGTGACAAGAAGGAAAGTAAGTCTCAAACCAAAAACGTAAATCTTTTCGGCCGAGGGAAGCAAGTCGCCAAAGTTCCTTACCACCGCTTTGTATGTGCGTTCCTTTCCGGGAACGGGAAGACAACGACATGTGCACAGCATTTTGCAGAACTTTTGCTACTTTACACACGCAATTTGGTTTGGGATGGCAATGAACCCTTAGTGCACTAGTTTTCGATACACACCCGCAAAAGATAGGCTAGGCAGGTTGGATCGGCATAGCTAGAACTGTAGTGATTAGTGCACCATGCATCTAGAAGGCGTTGCGTTACGCCTCTTCCAGGCAGTACTAGATTAGAGCAATGTGACGCAGCGCCTACTACGCGATGACATTCAAACTATATAGTTGTAGGTCATTGACAGCAGACACCTGACACTGACATAACCTAATTTGGCTCCCATTAACCCCGAATTCAAACTCGAAAGCTTGCTTTTTGTTTGAGAAATTAGCTTTAGCTTAAGGTGGAGGTTACTAACATTGTCTAACAATACCGAACGTCTCCTAACACTATTGTAGAATGTGTCTGTAAATTGCTTTTCAAACTTCCGAACACTTTACAAAAAAAAGGAACACTATTACTAAACACTAAACTTCGCTAAAAACAAAAAAAGTTACATAACGATCAATGGTCTGTGTTCTTCATCGTTATCCTAATTCTCTTCTCATCTATTTGTATGTGCTAAAAACACACACGTTTCGTCAATCCATTGAATGGAACGATCAACTCTATAATTCATCACGAATACCAGTTTGGCATCCTTAAACAATGCATGGGTTTTGCTAATACTACAGCAAAATTTACCATTGTGACAAATCCACAATAATTGCTCGCAAAACAACACTAACTCAACTCAAGTAAAAGACACACCGTAGACATGAACACACTACAAAACAGCAAAATATAGGATTAGCCAACTGTTCTCCCTCCCAGTGACCGTTGTAGTTCGAAGTTAAAGGGTTCCAATCGCCCACGTGCCTACACAACTACACGAACACACCTATTTACAACACGTTCTACAGCGTTCCCCCTGAAGAACTCCACACCTTCTTCATCACTTCACGCTCAAACTAAAACCCCAACAAAGGTCACACATTCTCCCAATTGTTCTAACGATTTCTTTGATCTTCCCCTAATAAAACTCTTTGCCGACCTACAAAAGAACCAAGAAAGGTTCTTCCCATCCTGAAGACCGACGAGCCCATCTGCCCGGAGGGTAAGCTATCCTGCGGTAATGGCGATTGCGTCGACAAGGAACTCTTCTGTAACGGCAAGCCCGACTGCAAGGACGAATCCGACGAGAACGCGTGTAGTAAGTTCGAATCGCCGAAAATCACAATTTCTTTGTCTCTAATAAATTTTCCTCAATCCTTCCTCAGCTGTCGAGCTGGATCCGAACCGTGCTCCCGATTGTGACACCACGCAGTGTGTGCTGCCGGATTGCTTCTGCTCGGCCGATGGTACCCGCATCCCCGGAAACATCGAACCCCAGCAGGTTCCGCAGATGATCACCATCACCTTCAACGGTGCCGCCAACGTCGACAACATCGATCTGTACGAGGACATCTTCAACGGTCAGCGCCAGAACCCGAACGGGTGCCAGATCCGTGGTACATTCTTCGTGTCGCACAAGTACACCAACTACTCGGCCGTTCAGGATCTGCACCGGAAGGGACACGAAATCTCGGTCTTCTCGCTGACGCACAAGGACGACCCCAACTACTGGTCCCAGGGAACCTACGACGATTGGCTGGCTGAGATGGCCGGAGCTCGTCTGATCATCGAACGATTCGCCAACATCACCGACGGTTCGATCATCGGTGTACGCGCCCCGTACCTTCGCGTCGGTGGAAACAAGCAATTCGAAATGATGGCTGACCAGTTCTTCGTGTACGACGCCTCGATCACTGCCTCGCTAGGACGCGTTCCAATCTGGCCGTACACCCTGTACTTCCGTATGCCGCACAAGTGCAACGGTAATGCCCACAACTGCCCATCGCGTAGCCACCCTGTTTGGGAAATGGTCATGAACGAACTCGATCGTCGTGATGATCCAACCTTCGACGAATCGCTGCCAGGTTGTCACATGGTTGACTCTTGCTCCAACATCCAGTCCGGCGAACAGTTCGGTCGCCTTCTGCGTCACAACTTCAACCGCCACTACAATACCAACCGTGCCCCGCTGGGTCTGAACTTCCACGCCTCGTGGCTCAAGTCCAAGAAGGAATACCGCGAAGAACTGATCAAGTTCATCGAAGAAATGCTCGTCCGCAACGATGTCTTCTTCGTCACCATGCTCCAGGTCATCCAGTGGATGCAGAACCCAACCGAGCTGAACGCTCTGCGAGACTTCCAGGAATGGAAGGAGAAGTGCGACGTCAAGGGACAGCCCTACTGTTCCCTCCCGAACGCCTGCCCGCTGACGACCCGCGAACTACCTGGCGAAACTCTGCGTCTCTTCACCTGCATGGAGTGCCCCAACAACTACCCATGGATCCTGGACCCAACTGGAGATGGCTTCTCCACCAAGTAAGCTAGTCTCCCGAGGGAACCTACATCCACCGAAAGTCTGATTTAGTTGCGTTGAAGAAGAAACACTACGAACGTAAGAAAGAGTCTCCGTTGACTCCTCCTAACCCGTCCCCTTCCCCAACGGAGTAGAGACGCCTGTTGTAAATAATTATAACTTCTTACATTCTCCCCTCCCAAACACATCCCTTCCCCAAGAAAAAAAAACATAAAGCTCCCCTTCCCCCAAACAATCTGAACAACCATTTTCCTATTCACGGAGAATCGGGATATGATAATTATATCAACAAAAAAAAACTTAAAAGATTGAACGTGATAATTTTATTTAAAAACAAAAATACTCTTTCAAAACTACCATCAAAAAAAAAAGAGCGGAAAATATAAAAAACTAGGCGCGCATAACCGAACCGAGATGAGAAAGAAAGATAGAGCACGATTTTAAGAAAATAAAGCAGAAGAACGAGAGCGCGAGAAAACCGTGTGGCCACCCGCATAATCGCGATTTTACTGCGGAGCCGGCTGGTCGCACGGATCAGGTGTTTTTTGTTTATTGTCGTCATTTAAGATTACTCGTTTGCTTTTTAAATAATTATATTTTAAACTATTTTTTCCTAACTTAAATTGAGTAAATGGATCGCCGCAGCCGCAAGGTGGCGTGAGTTGAAAGTTGAAAGGAACAGTAGAAGAGAGATGATTGAAATTTGATTTTTGCGCGGTAAACATCCTGTAGTTGTTGCTACCTTTATTACCCTCAGTCTGGTGAGTGCTTGCGGCTGGTAGTTTAGAATGATATGAAAACACACAAAATGGCAAGAAAATAAATTTTACATAAAAATAACGTCGGTGCGTAAGGATTTGCTGATGACATTGCCCAAAAAAAAACTATCCGTTGTTCGTTGCCCCTAACACAGACATCAGTTTCAATCGTGTACCGTACCGTAACCGAAAGGAGACAAACATGAATGACCAATGCTTCTGATCTTTTTTTCCTTGATTTGTTTTCCGTCGATCTTGTTTTCCGTGCTGAGCACCAATGCTACCGACGCCAGGACGGCAGCTTCCATACCCAACTAACATTTTCAGCTTTATAAGTCAACTTTTCCAGCAGTGTGCTGTAAAGTAGCTGAAACAAAGCTGCTGATACAGCTACAAGCAGAAGCTAGCAAAATAGTTTTGGAGAGCGTTTTCTCAACTTTCTCACAACCATTATACAATTTGTCAGTCGCACTGAATAACATCAGCCAATAAACGCTAATGTCACTTCTATACACATACTAATCAACTTTCAACTTGTAGCTGCAAAACAAAGCTAACAAAGTGAATATATTACTCATTTGATGACTTCTACACAACCAACCACTCTTGCTGAATAACATAAACATCAAAAGTGCTTTTTCAATAACTAAACAACCTGTACTCAGCTAATTAACTGTGTTAGTGCTACTTTGGAAGCAATTTTACAGTCAGCTAGGTTTTATTTTTAGACGTGTGCAGTTCCACAGCTTTTACTCTGCTCCTTTACAAAACTGACTAGTCGAGAAAAGTGATTCATGTGCACTATTATAAAGCCTCTACTCAACGGTATTATTGTAGAAAGTCATGTATATTTGTTTACGTCAGTTCAAAGTGTTGGCGTAGCGAAGTTGGTAGTGTCAAGGTTTGCCAATACGGTCGTCTCAAGTTCGATTCCAGGTTCTTCCGGTGCAGGGTAAATAATTTGGTGGTGTGTTTATAACTAATTTCGAATAATTTGATTCGCACAGCAAAATAACTCAATCAATTCCTCCAACAAAAAAAAGCGTAAATAATATTTAACCCGGCATCAAGAGAAAGCTGGGTAGTGATTTGGATACCCGGGAAAAGGTTGAGTAAGCGCCTTTCAAGTTCACACACAACTAAACAGCAGGATAACGGCTGTATATAAGCGTTAATGGGATATGTAATAAGAGCTTGTCACAACCGTCCCAACAGTCATAAGTAGCTGATCAAGTTCGCCAGATTTGTTTGAATAGAGCTTGAGGCTGTATAAATGATATGAGTGAAGCGTTTACATTGCAAAAATGTTAGTTGGGTACCTGGACCCTACCTATCGACCCATCATCAACTCATGAACCTGGGACCAACTGTTTTACTTCCTAACTGAGTATTTTTGCTGAATTTTATACTAATTGAACTTGAAAAAGAAATTTAATTTGATTTTTTAAATAAACAATTTCACCGATTTACACGCATTTTCCCTTGACCAAATTTTGACCGTATCACCCTTTAATACCGAAGACATATCAAGAAGACTGACAACTTTGCTAGAATCCAAGCGAAAGATACAATAGCGCTGCGCGCTGCGCTTGAGTGAAGGTGAAGCAACGCATAGAAAAAATGAGCAAATACACAAACCACAGACAAACATACAAAACACATTGAATATTTCTCACTGTAAAACATCGTCGCTAAAACATTACCGCCATCTGTTCAGTACACTGTGGTGGGTACCCAACAAACAATTCAAAGTCACAAATAAGCATACACATTGAATAAATGCTGTATAACAGTGTACAATGCTGAATACAACAGGATGTCGAACTATGTGCTGAAAAAAGCTCATTGAGATCGATAGATCCGCCGTTTGCTCTGATATGATAAATTACACTAAGCATATGCTGTATAACAGTGTACAATGCTGAATTAAAAAAGTTGTCGAATTATGTGCCGAAAAGGCTCATTGAGATCGATAGATGCACATTTTTTCCACTGTTTCCTCTGATTTGATTATTTTCTTATTAAAAGCTGTAAAAGTGTTAATGTCTTCCCAATTCAACGCCGCAAGTTCGATCTAATAACAAACTGAATAAGTGTAATTTGTACATACATTGACACTTTAATTCGACTGTTTTCAATTGATTTAATAACATGCTTTATTAAACGTCTAATAAATGTTCTCCGGCTCCTTTATTAGATTTCATTGCATTACTTTACAATATTGCTGAATAAAGGTGAATACAGTCAGCATAATAGCTCTTATACCACTATGCGTCCATGTTGTAATCACATGATTTGTAAATGCTTTATAAACGACGGATTTGATTCATTATTCGACAACACTGATTCAGTCTTACAACAAGGCGAAATCAGTAGAGTAGTGGTTACCGTTTCCGCTTTCCAATTAGAAGGTCGTGAGTTCAATCCCAAGCTCAACCCTTTTTTTATTTGTGTAGAACATAATTAATTTAAATAGTAATCATCGATCACATGACTCACGATAATGAATGCATTGATCTTGTTTAAAATATAACCGAGCATCCTTTCTTTCGACTTGGCGATGTGAAGAGGCAATTGGTCTCATTTAAAACAACGTTGAATTAATTAATCACAGACATACAGACGTAACTCTTGATGGAAATTATCAAAATAATTTTCGTCATTAATTCAAACTAATATACGTTAAAACACTAACGCTATCTATTAAGCATTCCGCGCGATTTTTTATCTATCATATAGGTATAAAACATTTCCCACACATACATCTACATACAGCTGTCATTCGATTTTGTTTTCACTAGCAACACCGTGGTCGTCGTTTTTTGTTTGCTTTCAGTTCGACTAGATATTTGCATTCGCCGCGTACGTAGACTGCCTGAAGTTTTTTTTTTAAATATTTTGAAGTGAAAAATATCTCTAATTCGAACAGTAGCCAAAGTAAATGGCTAGGAAGAGCAACGGTAGACCCCTTTTTTCACGAAATGTGTGAAATTTTACACATTAATGTGTTCACGTTGGTTACGTGAATGTATTTTTGACAGATAAAATGAGGGGTTATTGGTTTTTCCTATGTTTCGAGGGGTGAATCGGTTAGCTTGGGACCGAAGAGAGTACCAGAGCTGCGCCAAAAAGTTGAGCACGTCATTTCGGGACCTTCTAGTCTTAGAGTTACCTCTATGGTATTACCAACAATCAATATGAAACTATCGATTTTAAGTTGGCTCACTACTTGACTATCCTATGGTCCCAAGCAAATCGATTAACGTACCCCATTCTAGTCGAAATTCTAGTACTATACAATGTTTGTTTAGATTTCCTATGAAAGTTTGGCGGATAAAATGAGGGGTTAGTGGATTTTCCTATGTTTCGAGGGGTGAATCGATTAGCTTGGGACCGAAGATAGTACCAGAGCTGCACACCTCAATGTTTTAGCAGCGCCGAAAGCTGTTCTAAACGCTGTGCCGAAGCATACCAATCAAGTGTCCCATGAGTTTGGCAACCCTGAATTTTAAGTGACTTTTGTAATTGTGCATTGATGTATCTAACCTAAAACGCTGGCCAGACCATGGTGGGTATATAAATGGTGATACAGCTTTGTCACTATATAGGCGAGGGGGGGAAAGTGCGGTTTTAGAGCAAATTGTAAACAAACTCGGTCGCTGTCCCATACAAAAATCCAACATGGCTGAATCATGAATTTGACACATTAGAACACCTATTTGTAGTCACCTTGGGCCAGACTGGATAGTTATAACATGTTATAACGGTTGTCAAATAATTGCAACACATAATCCACCATCAAGATAGCGCTATAACATGTTATAACCATTATAACGTTCACTATAAAATCACTGCGGCAGCACCGAAATTTCACCCGAATAATCAAACTGGGCAAAGTAAACGTAATATGATCCAAGATTCGAGCCGTTTAACACCGACAAAACCTCAAACAAAACACTAATTGTAGCCCTGGTGGAAGCCGGTTCTGAAGCTTAACACCGTCCACCATCGGATCCTCATAAATCCGGAAAAGCACGTTGAACACGAGTGGTTCTACGTCCATGGAATTGATAATCAAACAGTACAACAGCGATAAAAACTGCGAGGTAGCGGTTCAATCGGCTGTAATCGGAGGACGGCTAATTCAAGATTAGTGGAAATTTAGAAGAAAAAGTTGATCAATTTGCTCGAGGTGAACAACTACGAGGTTCCTTATGCGGTTCTGTTTTATGCCAAGAGGAAGGTTTGAAGTGGTTATATAATGATCAGGTTCAGGTTGTTAAAACGTTGGGGAAATGTTTCTAATGTTGGCCTATGGATCTAAGATTGGGCCCATCGCTAAAAATCTGCTATTTATCAATTTTATCTACATGAACGCGTCATTGGGACGTTACTAATGGATATTTTTGGTTGCTATTGAAAATTTAGTCGATTACTTATGTATGGGCCCAAATTAGGGACACTTAGGCCGACATTACCTGCATTTCCCCTATATTGTTAGGTGAATAAAACAAAACTTATTTTTTTTTAAGAAAGCCTATCTAATAAATTGTTTAAAAATGCTCGTAAAAATGTACAGTAGGGTAACATAATATTTATTGAAAGAATAAACAGCGTGAGCGACCGGTGGTTCCATAGATTTTTCATCTGGGGAGGTACACACTTAATCTAGCTCGGTAAAATCTCCAACAGCCGATTACCTCGGCATTTACTTTTGCTGATATCTCTGCAAAATGTCTGTTTATTAGCTGATATTTCTGCAAATAGTTATTTGTTAGCTGAGTCTCAGCAATTGTTTTACTGAATCTCAGCAAAATAAATTGCAGAACTACTCGGCTGTTGGAATCTCGGCGAAAAAATTTAAGTGTGTAGTGTGTTTTTTATGACGCTATGTATATCTGGCCACCCTGTGGCATTGACCTATGTGAACCGTGATTACCGGTATTGTCGCTACCGGAAACGCCAATCAAGTGTTGGTTGCAAAAGTGTATGACCCTAAGCCGAGCCCTAAGCGTGACCTAGTTATGTATGTTGCTTGTCATGATCTTGGCGAATCACACTTTAACAACTCTTGTAGGGAGT